CAACTCGTGTCGTAGGCCTGTCGTAAGCTTGTCGCATGCGACAAAGTCGTACCGTGTAAATAGGCCTTTAGAGGTCTTCACTGTCAGTGTCACTTCCTTCTCCTCCCACGTGTGGATTTTGAAGAGCAAGCGGAAGTGCACGAAGTTCGAAATCGTTCTTTGATTAGTCAAGATTATTTTTTTACATAATGAGATGCTGATTACTTAAGATTGTTTGTCGCTTAGCTTCCGTTCCGCTTTCATTCTCTAGAAAAGTAAAACTTGTTTAAATAAATAAATGTTGGAGTGTTGCCTTGAGTTATTAAAGCCACACTGTTGTTGATCTGTTGGCAAAAACATATTCATCTCTGGCGAGCCACAAGCAATTACACAATTATTTTTCTGTTCGAACATTTCCCGTGCAACACGTCTACCCGGAAAATGAGGTGTCGAAAATTTCTTTAAAAGAAGAACTAACATACATGATACCTTTTGAAGATAACTTTAGATCTGTTACACGCATAAAAAAAATGTTCTCGTTGCTATCGTAACTCTCACCTTCGTAGTCAAACCTCTCGTCGTTTTCTTCAGGCTGCCGAGCCTTGTTTGAATCAATTTGTCCTTTGATTTCTCTCTGTACAGATTCTCTGTTCTCCCAGATCTTCAAAATCGCTATTGCGATTACTATTACTACTCCACCAAAAGAAAAGAGCAATACACCACGAAAGAATTGAGTGGAGAAAAACATAATTTCTTCCAGGTAGTCTAGATATGAACCAATCACACCACAGACTTTGCCACTAAAACACTCGATACTAATCACTCCAATTGGCAATCGAGGGACTGAAACAAAGCCTCAGTTTAAAAAGCTTTATTTAATTTGATAGAATCACCAAGACTTGGTACACGTTTCCGCAAAACGTAAATGTAACGGAAACATGAAGCTCTATGTTTCCGCCCCGTTTAAAAAATGCGGAAACGTGGGCTGTACCGCCCACCAAAACATTGATACAATCGTGTGCTTTATGCATTAATCAGAACCACAGGAATATGCTCTTTAAGCATTTTGGTTCGCCGTTTTCAAGCAGTCTTTCTTATGTTAAAATAGTCTGCCGTAAGCTATTGATATTAACATTTCGACACATTTGTCTCAATCATTGTAACACACTGTTAAAGATTATTCAATTGAAATAAATCGGAGGTTACAAAGAGTTTGCATAGGGTCTTTTAGAAAAAGGAACACGCGTACAATACGGTGTTGATTGTATTACTTGTACGAAAAAAATAAGAACCGCTTTTCCTCCTCTTTACCTTACAACTTCACAAAATTTTCATTACATTGATCTAAGAGAATCGGAAATTATTTGAAGATTAATAAAGCAGCATGCATTACTCAAAAATTCAGTTATCGTGGTAACCATAAAACCATTTACTATATTTCAGGTCCTGGGTTTCCACTGAGCGTGAACAAATGTTACAGATAAATTCGTGAGCGTCAGTGGAGATTTTCAGTAATACCTTTCCAATATAGCTTGCCAACGTTTGCATCATCGCATCTATTTATTAATATGATGTCTTCAGTTTTTTAGAACTGTTGAAAGACTCAAACAGCCTCGTATTAATGTGTTTAGAACAACATTCCTCAAAAGTGTTTAAGGTTGTCTCTACAATCAATCCCAGAAACTGAAATCACGATTCCTCCTTGTTATTTGGGATGAGACCATTCAATAACAGATCACTTGAGAAACTTTCCACTGTTGAGTGAATCTGTTTTAATTCTATGAGTCGCTTGCTTCACCTTACCTCGCAGGTGGTACAAATTCATAAACCTTTTTTCGGTTCTATTGTTTAAAAACTCTTAACTGACAGTAAAAAGTTACATATAAATATATTAATGTTCAATTCAATCCAGATTCCGGAAATTTAAACACCCACAAACAGTCACTTGGTCCCGAATGACTTCTAATGTATTTGATTCCGGTTGATTCCCTTCCGCATAATGAGGCACGGTATAGTTAACAAGATTGCGAGGGTTCAGTTTACGTGGTTAAATCATATATTTAGACAGTTCTATTAAAACAGAGTTTGCAACAGTGGAGCCAATATTCTGTTCTTTCTTCTGTTGTAAGCCCAAGATCGAAATGTAAATTCCTGTAAACAGAAGACGGAGTTAAATGAGTGAAACAAAAGTTTCTGCAGGTCTCTATCTATTGCATGGTCAAAAGTTGGATAGAATCAAGCAGCCCAGTCTGAACCGAACAAATGATCCTACCCGGAAATGAGAGCTTGATCACAATGTCAAATTGATATGCTTTATAATGAGGCATTATGAGGCAAATGAAATGCCGCGACCGTGTTGTAAAAGTAAAAGAACACTATGATAAGGGTTTCATGTGTGACTCGTTTTCATAGAATTTCGATAATTTTTTTGTTCCAATGAATTAATTTTCAGAAAAATATCCAAGAATTATGAAACTGTGGAACAGTTTAAGAGACGATTTGTTTAAAATCCGGGGCAGTGAACAAATATTTACTTTTTGAAGAATCGTACTCGACTTTATCCAGACTTACGCCGCAGTAGTCAATAAAACCTCTAATTGAAATTAAAAGTTTCAGAAAGATGCGCGCCATTGCAGCTTAAACACACTTCAAATTTCGATATTAATCTATCATTTTTGTTCTGTTTTAGAGGAGTGCTTTTACTGACCTGAATACTAACGTCTTCTATCTCAGCCTTTCGTCATGTTCCTTCGGTATCTTCTGCCTCCTCTTTGCGTTATTCTGAGATGAATTCAACAGTTTTGTCACCAGAAATGATATTAAGCCACCGATGGCAGCGGACAATACATACAACCAAATATCTTGAGGGAGACACATCTTTGCAAATTTCTGCATCGTAGTTTTTTTAAAGCTGAAGGATGCTTCTCCAGATACAACCTACTTATACCCATGTTTGGACCATTTTATGCGTTCTGTCATTGGATAATTCTGACTTCCAGTTTCCAAACATTCTTAGCTATGCGACGTGCGTCAATGGACCTGTGGCGTGCGTCAATAGATATGCGATGTGCGTCATACGAACACGCGAAGTGCGTCATAGCGAGTTGTGAGACTCCTATTTTTAAAATACCTTCGCTCAGCATTAGTATTTCACAAAAATCGCATAAATATTATATCTAAATCCTAACGAAAAGAAGAACAAGCGAGGTTTACTAGAAAGGACTATTCCAATAACATAATTTTCGAGTTATTAGTAGTCAAGTGACTTTATTGAACAAGCCATTGACATTTTCTTTTAACTTACACGTTTGACTGTTAGGCGGAAAAATTGACAGCAAATTCTAACTGTCAATTGTAAAAAAAAGTTGACCCTAAAATTGTTTTCTTTTTATTGCAACGAAAAAACTTTTAAAACTATTAACCGTAAAATGGTCATAATTTAACCGTTAGCCGTAATATACATCACCCCAATCTGACTCTACTCTGGACGGTAGGATATTGGAAAACTTCCAAAATACTACTAGCTAGAGCTACAGGTTTTTATACGAAGTCGACTTAGCCTAATCCATCGACTGATTTGGTTATGTAATAGTTCTGCAAATTCCTGTTAGGTCACAACACAACTATCTTCGCTGGTAGGAGCTAGGCTCAACCCTGCACAAACACTCGGCTGGAGCAACACAAATGAGTTTGACGAAATAATGGCGTTATGCTCCATCAAACTAGGTTGAAATCTAAGAAGGCGTTTGAACATTCCGTATGAAAAAATAATTACAACTAGAAATTAACTATGAAATAGCAAAGAATTAAACGCAACTCTAAGATGCTCACGTTTTTCTGAAACTATTAATATATCAGCTGGTCCATCGGCCCAATTAAGTCTTAAATTAAAATCAAGGGCGATATCCAAACAACCATCCACAGCGAAGTACATTGCGATACACCGACTTAAGTCTCTTCTACGAGTGCCATATTGGGGATTCCCCTTTTTTTACTACAGCTCATTTACATGATAACTTGAATGCTCGTTTGAATGTCACGCCAGTTACATTGGTTCACTTTTTATTCTATAGTTCTCTCTTTAACAAACAGTACAAGTACTCTTTTGCTGTTGTATTTTTCAGGATTTCGATCAAAACCCTTGAGATGGAAATGTCAGGTGAATAATTCGACTTCACAATGACTGTTTGTCAAGTCTTCATCGGTGTGATTATCGTTGTTGCTTATCGAGTCAATTTGTTACTGAATAGAACACAAGAGCACTAACTTCGATTTGATGTTGACTGTGATTGATAAACATACTGCATGCTGCTTTCAATGCCCTTTGGACAAACATTTGGCCAAAGAAATGACAGTAAGTTATATTAAAGATTTTTCATTACAAGCCCATTGCGCGTGGCTACTCCGCGCATCGTTACGTGAAATATTCGTGGAGATGTTACGTAAAACGAAATCGATTTCGTACTGCGTAGGCTTTCAGATGCTTGATTCATCTACTGGTAAATCATAGGGCACGTGTTGTTCAGGTTGAGTACACACGGTTGAAGTAAAGTTTCTAGCTTCTCTACTTTGAAAACCATCCATGTGTGACATTTTACCCTCAGAGGAAATTATAGAATCAAACAGAATAAAGGGACATCTTTTAAACTAATCAACGGCTGAGTTCACTTTCGAGGATTCCCACCAAGCGTTAAAACACAATGCCATTCCCCCATTACAGAGAACCAAGGGCGAATTCTCTTTTGGCGTTGAATTTGTTTTGGAGTAATTGTTAGCCTTTCATTCAAACATCAATATAATTGACTAAAATCCTTACACAAAAAAAGACTTTTAAAAGGAAACTATTCACATCTGCGAAAAAGGCCAGTGCGGTCAGACCGGTCGCGACCGTCGTGATCAGGAACAAAAACAGAACACAATGTAATTGCAAGTATTTATAAATCCTGAAACGCAATGACCTATTTGTCATTTACTTTCTTATTCATGTTTTAAAAAAGTGTAAATAGAACAAATTTTTAGGTATTATCTGAAGGTTTACAAATCAAAGAAAGCACTACCGAAAGGCTGACCAGTGCAGCTCAAAACAACGGAACTTATTCGCGTCAACAATGTCTTGTGTGTAAACAGCTTTCCAGCCAATTTTTAAGAGTCTAACAGCCTGTGAATCTAGTCTATGATCTCTATGTTACTATAAACATTGAAACAATTAGATATACAAGTACCAAAAGTTCCATTCTAACTTAAATCTATCTGTTGTGTGATGAAGTCTGTAAACCAAATAACAGATCTTTACTCTTCTTTGTTCGTCCTTCCGTGAGCTGCATTTGTCTAAAAACACAAAGGAAAAATATAAAACAGCAACAGAATTAGATTTATTCCAGATTTTGAAAGCGTTAAATATTTCTAAATATTCTGTCTTCAAGTCTTTTGCATGAAACGCGAGCTTCTGGAACGAGAAACAAACTATCAGCGTTACGTGAATATTCATACGGAATAACGCGAGATAAATTCGAGAAAAACGCGCGCGACCTACTTCAGCTCGTTTTTTTTTTTATCTCGCGCGGGAGCGCGTGAAAAGAAATTTACCTCGATGAATTGTAGCAAGGGGAAAAAATGTTCCTCCGAGAGGAAATGTGCTTACTGGTATTGGGCCCCAATGCCAGTATTGCTGAGCAAACCTAGTTACGTTGTGCGTGTGACTGCGGAATTGTTATCGGTAAACTTTTCCACGAGATTGTCAAGTAACTGGTTTCAATTTATTTAGAATCTATCAAAATAAGATGGGGAACCTAAGGTCACAAAAAGGAAATTAAAAAGCATTGGGGAAGCAATATATGCCACTTACTATGAAAAATGCAAAGAAAACTTTCAAAAATCACTTAGTGACATTCTAGTGCTTGTCCCTGAGGCTGATCTTCAAAAGAACCCTTAACCTGTCGAAAAGACTGAAAAAATGAAGAGAAATGAGCAAAGGCAAACAAAACAAGAACTAGAGTTCAGAATGTCATAAAAAGACAATGCTGTTCACCTTAGCCTTCGTCAGTCTTACACTTCAAGACAAGTCCAAAGAATGGTCCACCAAAGGTCAGCTTCAGCTTCATCTAATAACATAGAAGGAAAGTTGGACCAGCTACTAGCTGACCTAGAGTCATGGCCTGATGGTCCTCCAAACTGGTCAGAAAAAGCCAGAATGTACAACATCAAAACCAAGGGAAGTGACTCGACACCTGGTAATAAAGGGCAATTAGTCAAGGCCTTTCTAAAGTCAAAAGAAGTCAACTTTGCCTGATTTGAGCCCCCATCAGAAGTGCATCTCAATTCAAAGGATGGCCTTACAGGTAAAAAGTGGGAAATTTGTAACTAAGCCAACCATGGAGAGTTAAATCTCTGCAATATCATAGGTGAAAGAAATTATGTTTAAGGATTAAAGGACATTTAGATTTATTGAAGAACAATAAGATTTGGGAGTTAAAATTTAGAATTTAGAAGTACTTATTTTCTACAGTTTAATTAGACTATGAATTAGTAAAACATTAGAAGATGTAGGACTAAAGTAACAAGAATGCATAAATGAATTTAATGGTGAATATAATAACACTTTCAGAGGTTTTTATCATTTCCCTAGCCTCCTGTAACAAAAGGTTTTGATTAATTTTCCAGGATTCAGGGTACACAGAGCTATAAGGAAGCAAAAGGCAGGAGAAATTTCCGTGTCTGTGATGCGATTAAGTAAACAACTCGAGCAAAGCATCCATGAGGGAATAGAAAGTGGCAAATTTAACATAGGAGAGCCGGTGATAGAAAGAGAGATCACCAAATTGGCTATTAATACACAGGGAGAGATAGAGCAGAGGAAATGTCACTTGCAAGCAAGAAAAATTCCCTTACAAGACATTAAAAAGAAGCCTCAATTAAAAACAAAGACCTCCTTCGAATAAAAAACGATGCATTTTATGAAGAGCTCAGTGAAAGCGAGATTCGTGCAGAGCTAAAAAAGATCAGTGAGGATATAAAGGGATCACACGATGAAATCAAACAAAGACTGGAAAGCTTTTAGCAGAAGAGGCATTGGCTGATTTGGCACCACCATTCAACCCCTTCAAATTTTGGCCACATCTTCTTTTGAGGCAGAGAGATGTATGACCCAGCAATTCATCTCTCTGATGCGGAAGCCAGAGTTCAGTATGGAAAAGATATGGATGTCCAGGCAGCGGTGGAGAGGCCTTCTTTGTACGGTACCGCTAGAGTATATGTTTGCGGCGCAGACGAATTTCATACGCTCAAACGCATAGTGGTCACACGCGAATATACGATATTTTTTCGCGCACGGTCGAAAAAAATGCGCGACTCGTGTGCCTTTGTTATTCAGTGCTATACGTTTCCTTTGCATTACGTTGTTGTGTAAGACAAAGAACCTTTAGGTTTGAAAAGCGACAAGTCGAAAACGGAAAATATTGGAATAAAAAAGCTATCATGTTACACTCACGCATGTCGCGTCGCTTAGCGAATTTATCGAATATCGAGCAGTAGCAGTAGATTTGCTTGATTTGAGTTGTTGATAAATCAGCTGGGAAGGAAAATATCACTTACACAAGGCATCGAAACACGTGAATTATCAAGCAAGTCACGAAGCGAATACTCATTGATATTGACTCCCAATTTATTCATTGCAATCATCGCTCCCTTGAATGTTTACGAAGCGGAATGTAAACAATTTGGTGTTCGCATCGCAGGTAATGATTTCTTCGAAACTTCGAACTTACCTCGATCACCTTTGATGAGTATCAGAAGGAAAATATACTATTCAAATTAGTGAATGATGTTTTATTTCATTCATTGCGATCGGCGCTCGCTTCAGCGTTTACGCACCAGCGTAAACACTCTGCTGGTGCAGAGCAGTTCCAGTATTGAAGATAAGATAAAATTTGTCCCAGTCAGACATGATGATTTAGTAAATTTAACCCAAAAAGTAAAAGCAGAGGAAGATTTTGAAGTAGAAGATGAGATGAGATTCATGAATGGAGACAACCCTGCAGTAAACTTTGAATGTGGAAATCAGCATGGAGGACATTATGCTTGCTCAGGTTGTGATGGGCGCTCAAGCATGTGCCACGATCTAAATTTCATGGCCCAAAGAAAGAACAGAACATTGACCAAACGGCAACAACTGGTGTTAGCAAGAAGGAAAGGAAAAGAGGCAAAGCAACTCTTGAACCCATTTAAAGTTCTGACGGTCAATGAGCTACAAGCTGAAATTGAAGCAACAGGACTCGGAGATTCAAACAATACCAGACCAGAACTTGCAAAAATTTTAAATGAAGAACTTGGAGGAGCAAAAAGAATTCCAGCACTGTTGTTTGGGGATGAGAGTGTTACTGTGGAAAGTCTCAACCTCCATTGCTACGAGGTAGTGTGTTTTGAAGCTCTTCACTGCTCCATGAATCACATAAAAAAACATTCTGGAAGAAATCCCACAACACATTTCTGACCTTGATACACTGATTAAACTTAAAGAAATACTAGCTGTTCAACTCAACAAAGAGAAAAAGCAAGTGGGTTCCACAGGTACTATAATCATGAAAATGCACTACAAAGATTATTATTATAAATACATACCATTTAGGAACTTTACTATAACTGTCCAACTGATAAATATTTGTAAAAGTATCCTACATTTATGTAGATCTGGAACATAACTGAAGGGAATGCTGCATGGTAGAAATCTAAAAAGGAACAGCAACAACATGGTTTATCAAGTTACAGTGTTTAATAATGTACAATAATCTGTAAATCATAAATTTATTTATGCTTCAAAAGGATTCATTCAACAAAATGTGCTCAAAATGTAATATTTGCCAAGTGTGTTATGCATGATGAATAATGTTGAGCAAATTAAATCTTCTGCTCAAGGGATTTTGAAACTAATTACTGTATTGCAGAAATAAGGCTCTCTTAAGTGACATCCCTGAGGAAAAGTTGAAAGAGTTGTTGTATTCTTTTTGAGAAGTGCATGGATACAGAAAACCATTATATTTAAACTCAAGAACCTTATAGCTTTTAATTTCTGTAGTCATTTTGTTTTAGCAGTTTGTTCTAATATGGGAAGTTGAACAGTGAAGCAATCATACTTTATTTTAATGATGAACAATGCTATTCATTTAAAATGCATACTAACCATTTTCTCACTGGAAATCTTTGTTGCATGTGTAAGTGACAATTAATTGCTAAACAGAAAATTAAATTCCTTGTACAAGTAAGACTAGAGAGCTTTTATACTTTGTCTTGTGAACTAGACCTGTAATGCTACCCATACAAGATGCTTCTCACTAAAAAATGAAAGAACTTTGTAAAAATTTTTTGTTGGTCCAGTTATTAGTTCCCATGGTAAACTTTCTATATTAGGACTTTTGATAATAAGGCAATGCTTCACCTGAATTCTTTTTATGGAACAAAGTCATAAATTCCTTTACGAAATACGATTTTAACTTAAGCTAAAAAATGCTTTTTCTCTTCCAAATGTCCCCTTCTCTCAACGTTCGTAAGTTGGAACTTAACACAGGTCACGCTGATCAAAAGAAAGATTCTCTAATAACGCAGTTGCATCTTCAAGGAGGATTTGATATTTTTCAAAAACGATTTCAATTTCACTCGCTTAGCCCGAAACATATTTAGTTAAATAGCGTGGATTTCTATTCACACCTACTCGGCGACAAGAGTAATACGTAGTTTTCCTGCCGGTCAACAAACGCAAAAAGCCTAAAATGAAAGCGAACACCTACACTAGACTGGTCTGAACTCACACTAAACCCATTAGAAGGATGCACATCAGATACAAGCAACACCTTCTTACAGTTAACAGTTTCTTACCTCCATGTCCTTCCCAGGTAATTTCCAGACTTCTAACACAAACAACCCCTAGAGTAATAGAGAGCGACAGAGTTTTCGGAACATCTATGGGCCGCAATGTTCTCCATCTCGGTCGCCATCTTGAAATGTTTTTCTAAAGCTTGATTGTGCTTCGAGATCCGGAAGTCTCCGAAAGCCGGAAGTCTCCGGAAGGTACACTTGTCTTTAAAACACGGAAGAATTTGGAAGTTTTGGAGTATCTTACTTCAGGAGCCTATTACTTGCTTACTTACAACATGATGACATAATGCGAACTGGCCTTGTGCCAGTAAGCACAAAAATTATAGTCTGAATTAGAGTAGTGACAACAAATGGTACATCTACGACAACATTTCAGTGACTGAGCTTGCTTCGGTATATGGACGATTCCGCGGTTGAGTGATTGTTGCTCTCTTTATTACAGCCTCAGTCTCAAAGGTAACTTTCAAAATACAGATTTATATAAAAACGATTTATTTTAATCAAGTGGATTATGTGAAAAAGTAAAGAACAGAAAAATGACGATGAAGGTAGCGTCTGCACAAAAGAATATCAACTCTATCAGCCGGGACTGTTTGCGCGGTGGAAACATTTTCCTGTCGCTGTCGAAGAAGTCACTGTTTGCGTGTATCATTAAGTTTTTCAGAGATAACCACTGATCTGTCAGACTTTGATTCTTTCTTATCTTCGCTGGTAGGAGCTAGGCTCAACCCTACACAGACGCTAGGCTGGAGCAACACAAATTAGTTTGACTCAAACTAGGTTGAAATTTAAGAAGGCGTTTGAACATTCCGATCAAAACCGAAAACAACTAAAGGGCTAAGTTCTCTTTTCGGGGATTCCCCCAAACGTCGAAACACAATGACATTCCTCCGTTACCGAGAACCAAGAGTGAATTCTCTTTCGGTGTTGAATTTTGTTTTTGAATAATTGTTAGCCTTTCATTCACACATCAATATATTTGACTAAAATCCTTACAAAAAAAAAAAAAAAGGAAAAAAGAAAAAAACAGTGCGGTCAGGCCTGTCGTGACCTTCGTAACCAGGTACAAGAGCAGAACACAATATAATTTCAAGTAATTATAAATCCTTCGACACAATAATCCATTTGACATTTACTATTTCATTCAAGTTTTGACAAAGCGTAAACAAAGCAAATTTTTAGTTATTACCTGAAGATTTACAAATTAAAAAAGGCACTACCAAAAGGCTGACCAGGGCAGCTCAAAACTACAGAACTTATCCGCGTCAACAATGTCTTGTATGTAAACAGCTTTCCAGCCAATGCACATGCACTACAGCATTTGCTAAGAGTCTAACAGCCGGTGATTCTAGTCTTTGATATCTATGTTACCTTAAACCATAGTTAGTAGAGGAAACTCTACTAACTATGCTTAAACGTTGATACAATTCAAGATATATATGTACTTCAAGTTCTGTTCTAATTTGTATCTATCTGTTGTGTGATGAAGTCTGTAAACCAAATAACAGATCTTTACTCTTCTTTGTCCGTACCTCCGTGAGCTGCATTTGTCTAAAATCACAAGCGGAGAATATGAAATAGCAACAGGATTAGATTTATTCAAGATTTTTGGAAACGTTTAAGATGTCTAAATATTCTGTCTTCAAGTGTTTCCCATGACACGCGAGCTTCTGAAACGAAAAACAAACTATCAGCATTCAGCCGTGGTGCCCTTTTGACCACAGCGTAATGATCACTCCGAATATTCATCCGCAAAGTAGCGCAAGAAAAACGCGCGCGACCCCCCCTGAGCTTGTTGTTTACCTCGCGCGGGGGGCACGTGGAAAGAAATTTACCTCGATGAATTGTAGCAAAAGTGTAAAAAACTGTAGCCTGAATTAGAGCAGTGACAATAAATGGAACATTTATAGCAACATTTCAATGACCGAGCTTGCCCGGTGTGCCCCGGAGTAATTGTTGCTCTTTTTTTATGGCCCAAGTTTACATGATAGCTTCAAAAATACAGATTTTTAAAAAAACGATTTTTTTAATCAAGTGGATCATGAGAAAAAAAGAAACAGAAAAATGATTATAAAGATGGCTTCTGCACAAGAGAATATCAACTCGATCAGCTGGGACAGTTTGCGCGGTGGAAACATTTTCCGTCGTCGTCGATGGCCGAAAGCAGTGGAATCCGAAAAATCGGAGATAACCAGTATTCTGTCAGACTTTAATAAAATATTCTCATAGCTTACAGAACTCTTACCTTCTCAGTCAAACCTCTCGTCGTGTTCTTCTGGCTGCCGGGTTTCGTTTGAATCAAATCGTCTCCTGATTTCTCTGAGAAATGATTCTCTATTTTCCCAGATCTTTACAATCGCTACCGAGGAAACTCCACCAACAGCGAAGAACAATACACCACGCAAAAATTGATGAGAGAAAAAAGCCATTTCTTCTGAATTCGTCTTGTTATGGGCAAATCACACCACAAGCTTCAGTAGGAAAACACGCTCAATACCAACCAAATAATTTGCTTGTTCCTAGTGTAAGTGAAAGTCGCCGGAAACCTGCCAGTCAGTGACGGACGTGCTTATGACGTCATAGATGCTTGACTTGCGTGACCCGATCACAATGAATATCTTATGTTATATCTTAATAAGAAAGTTTAGCCGCACTAAAACACAGATTTGACTGAGGATAAGAAAGCATCAGTCAGGGGATTCTTGATTCTACAGATTGTAATTAAAGAGAAACATTGTTTACACAATTTGAAGGTATCTACATATCATTAAGTCGACCATAGAGGCTGTTCTGTTAAAACAGAGTGCGCAATTCAACCATAAAAAATTATTTTCGTTCTTCTGTTGTAAGTCCATGATCGAATCGTAAATTCCTATAAACAAAAGTTACCGTAAATCTCTTTTCAAAACATGGGAAAAATGAACCCGTCTGAACCCAGCTGGAGATTATGTTTCAATCCCAATAACGCATTCTTGGCGTAACCGTATGTTGAAGGCCTAAATGTAATAACTGTCCTAAATGTAATAAAGTCCTAAATGTAATAAAGTCCTAAATGTAATAACATTTGGTCTTAAATGTAATAACATTTAGTCCTAAATAAAATAAGCCTCCAATGCAATCGTTTAACCCCGCCAGTGCATTGTTGTTATAGCGGACATCCATATTGAGATCTTGAAGTGACCAAAAAATCCTCTGACCAGTATTCATGTCACATATTGCGGGCTCGTTGGTATTAATCAGCGTCTTCTTATTTGCTAGACTTAAGGCGGGGGTAAACCTGAAATTTGCTCAAAAACTGAGTTTTTTGTTTTCCTCGGAATTTGCAGCTTTGGGTATTAAACTTTGCTATGGAAAAATAATTTTCCACTTATTTTCACTATTTTTGCCTTTTTGAGCGATTTTAAAATTCCCGCTCTGACTAATGGCGTGGTTACCATGGCAACGAGAAGAGCATTTTTTAATTTTTCAGTTGTTTATGACGTGTTTTTCCGGCAACCAAGCTCCAAACGGGCAGGATTTGACGAGAGATACTTTATTTAGTCTTATCTGAAGGGTTTTCTAGGGTCAAAACCATTATGGGATAGATTTAGAGGCAGTTTTGGTCGAATGTGACACTCAGTGTACTCGGAGCAATCAAAGGAAAAGTTATATCGAAAATGGTCGGAGAGAAAAGTAGATCTGTCCACAGGAAGAAAAGAAAGAGAAATTTTTCTGGAAGGCGAAAACAGAAAGAAGAGTCTGAAGAAACAGCTCCTGATGTTGACGAAATCGCCGCCTCAACTCCGAGCACTTCGCGGGATGAAAATCAGCTCTCCGACTCGGACTCTAATGAAACCTTTGGTTCCTTTAGAATTTATCCAAACATCTGTTGAACCTGAAGGCTAGAACTAAAGGGAAACTAGCTGATGGCAAACCTATTGGTGGTATAGGGAGACTGTCTGACACAAGAATAAAGAAGTTCCAGAAAGATTATGGACTTGCAATTCGGCAAAATACCATCAGGAAATCCAATCCAGGAAGAAGGGAGGTGGAGGTTGCAGTTTATGGAATGAAAAAAACATTATTGCAATACTCCATCACAATGTTGAGTCAAATGACCCAGCCAAACAGCATCGATTTTGTCCACCAGGGGAATCCTCCTGGTGTAAATGGAAGCAAGACAAAGCAACAGGAACATCTACATACAGTAGTGGTAACTGTTTGCCAGAGGTCTTTCTTGATGTCTTGAAACCCACTTTTATGACTCTAAGTGACTCGAAATTGCTAGAGAGGTGTGTGTTGGGAACAACACAAAATCCCAATGAGTGTGTTAACTCAATGGTGTGGGTACGGTGTCCTAAACATAAACACCATGGTGTAAAAGTAATTCGGTGTGCTGCGGCATCAGCAGTCTGCCACTACCATAATGGAGCTTCTAGTAGGCTAAAAATCATGGAGAGGCTTTGTATCCCTGGTGGTGTTTGTACAAGAGTGGCAACACATGCAAAAGACAGTAAAAGATTGGCTAAGTCCGATTTGCAGGTTATGCAGAAGGAAAAGAGACGGCGTCAAGGGGAGCGACTTCTGAGGACTCGTCGAGAGGAAGCCCTTCGAGAAGCTGAAGGAGTTACTTATGAACCAGTATGTTTTTAAATTACTTTTAGATACTCCTGTGGACAAAATATGGACACTTGGGCCACTATAGTGGTTACATATTGTAAAAAATTAAGTTTGATTGCTATCAGTAAGTTTAAAGGCCATTTTCTCATTACGCAATAATTTTGTCTTCAAGAAAAGATATCTTGACAACAATTTATCCAATTGATCTGAAATTTTCAGCATTTGTTCCTTTTGATAAGTTTTGTGTTATAAGCAGAGCAATTTTCCATATGATGTATGTACTTAAAGTTATGAAGTGAAACACCCCTCTGGGTTAGGGTTATCTGAAATATTTTTTTTCATGATCTTCAAGTCATAAGCTTTCCAGGGATATATAGTTTGCCTAAGTTTTGAAGTAAGTCCTAGCTGTGAAAAATGAGTGAAAAATGGGCATTTTTTCAGGTTTACCCCGCCTTAAGTCGAGAAGCATTGGCTGCAAACCGTTATACTGATAAACAATTAGCATCAGATGACAAC